AGAGAGAGAGAGAGAGANAGAGAGAGAGAGAGAGAGAGAGAGGAATAAACTACAAAGCTCTATAGCATTTTTCCTACAGTGGAGCGCTATTGATCTCAGCCATCCAATCTTGATCGAATGGTTGAGAGCACATCCACTGTTTTAATTTTAATTTTAGTTTTTTTTTTTCCGAGTCCAATCAAACTGACATTTGGGCTGTCAAATGACAGATTTGGCTGCCTAGGTGGGCACCCATTTCACTAGGCGGCCCTTTCTAGGAAACTTAGGGGTCTAGGCCCTAGGGAAGCTGTTTAGAGCGATTTGGTTGCCTCAACATGATCTTAGTAGCTATGGTTTTTTAGACACACTAGTAAAACACACTAAGTCCCCGATACTCCATATTTCATACGTATCTCAAATGTGAACTTGCCATTGAATTACTTTGAGTTTAAAAAAAAGAAAAAAGGAAAAAGAAAAAAATGCCCAATAGACCAATACCCATTCCTCAAAATCAACATTCCCCAATATCAATTCATTCTAGCCAAGTGAAACAAAGAAAAGAAAAAAAAAGTTCCAACTCCATGCTCTCAACATTACATCAAATGTGATCATGATGAATTTAGATTGGTAATTGAGTTTCATGATCACTACAACAATCTTAGTAAAATGCCACTACGCACAAATAAAAGCCTACTATGGAATATGAGGCACAAATCCAAACATTAACTAAAAAACAAAAAGGATACAAGAACAAAAAAAACCAAACAAGGAAATTAAATAGAAATAAACCATTTCGATTAAGTTTAAGAGATTTTACTAAGATTGGATTATCCAATCTTAGTAAAATGCCACTAAGCATAAACAAAAATCCACTAATGGATTATGGTGGCACAAATTCAGACATTAACTTAAAAAACAAAAAACAAAGAATCACAAGAAAATCAAATAGAAATAAACCATTTCGATTAAGTTTCGAAGATCTTACTAAGATTGGGTTACCCACTCTTAGTAAAATGCCATGAAACACAAACCCATTATGGAATATGGTGCACAAATCCAAAACATAAACTCAAAATAAAAATACAAGAACAAAATCCCAACAAAAAAAAGAAAGACACATTATTGGTCCATTTCCAATCAAGAATATGGGCCACAACTACAATCCTGAACTTGAAATAATGTACAAGAATAAAAAAGCCAAAGAAGGAAACAAAACAAATACTAAACCAAACATTCATGAATATCATGTAAACTATAAACAAAAAAAATTAAAATATATCAATGTTTTCTTTTGCATTAGATCTTGGCTTGAATCGATGACTGGTGAGAGCCAAAAGTCTTATTTCACAACCAAAGCGACTCACAAAAAATATCAAGCTGATTATTTTTCGATTCACAAGAAATCGAAAACTTTGAGATAAATTTTTAATCTTAAAACATCTTGTTTTTGGGGAGTTTTTCTCTCTCAAACGCAAGCAAAGTAGGTTTTGGGGGTTACAATGCCCCCTAAACCCTTTCCCCCCTCTTAGGTGGGCACCTAGGTGGGTGCCTAGGCACCCCACCTAGGCCCATATGCCGGTGGTAAACGCCTTTGGCCACCTAGGCGACCAGGAAGTCGAATTTTTTTAACACTGGTCAAATCAACCGTTCTAACAGGCACTCTCCTATTAACAATATTAAAAAAATGATTTCCTATAGTTTAAAATGGCTAAATTACCCCTGAAATTCTCATGAGTATTTTGGTCCTTTAAAATATTGGAAATATTTTTTTATATTTTTACCAGGAGTTCTATGTTTAGAAGGGTGGACACACTAAAGTTCAGTTTAATCGTATATATACATAACTGAAAATAAAATACTTTTATAAACTCTCAATCAGCTGATCAAGATTTGACAGTTCAGAGGATATGTACATTCTAAGAAAAATACTATAACATTCTTTAATTGGGTGCACTTCTGCGCTTTGCAGTTAAGTATATGGTTCTCAATGATTAAAATTATCACTACCCCATGATTGTCAAAATGGTACAATGAATTTATAAATAGAATTTGGTCGTGGCATCTTGATTAGGACAAATTCATTCTTAATTTTAGTTTTTGTTTAATTTCAAAGGATGTATCTTTTAATTTTAATTTTAGGGTTTATTTTTAGAATTTTTAAGTTTTTTTAAGGATTCCAGTTTTTTTTTCTTTCTTATTTTTAGGATTTTAAGAGTTGTTTAAAAAAGTAGTTAGAGTGCTTATTGAATATTCTATTTTATTATGGTAAAAATATCATCACAAATTTTGTTTTACTACCATTTCAATTAGAATTAGGATTTCTTGGGATCTAAGTAAGTTATTTTATTAGAAATTGGGGTCTGTGTGGAGAATTTAGTAGAGAATTTAGAATAGAGAGTTGAGTTTTGATATCTTATTCCAGGTTTAACCAGTGCAAAGCCGTTGAAGCTTGGAATGTAGGCTTTTCCTCTTTGACTTTCTAATCTATAGATTATTGGGTTTTCTTACCTATGAAAATCTTTCTACACCAATATCAGAGCCAAGTCTAGGGTTTACTGAATGTAGGTCAGGTTTTATTAATTTCAGCCTAGAGCTTGCTTATTTCAGCTAGTGTTTGCTCATATTTTTGCTCATGTTTCTGCCTAGGATTTGTGATTTTGGTGAACCTAAGGCAGCAAGAATAGGTCATGGAAGGGGACCTCTCATAGAACTTTCTTGTAATATTAGAGATGAAGAGAATGAGGATCTCAAGAGCCAAGTTCACCAGCTTGCATAAGAACTTGTGGGCATTACTCATGGGCAGATAGTGATCTTTCTTTATTGTTGTGCTTCACTTATAGAGTCAATTGAAGAGGAAAGTGATAGAAGACCCAGATGTGGGGACATCAGTTTAGGGTTTTCTATTTGAAGGTGGATGTTTCTTATTGTGACTAGCATAATCTGACTCACAACCAAGGGAGAGGTAATCTTGTTGCTTATGAATACAATTGGTTCATAATATTGAGGAAGCTGACCATGGAGAATCTTGATTTCCATTAAGTTGCTTCCAAAATTAGTAGGTTATAGATTGGGATTCACCACCAATCTTCGGTACATATTTAGATGAACAGTAAGATCTCTTAGGAGATCCAATCTATGATAAGCAAGATGAAGATTTCAAGGATGTCGAAGAGGTGGAGCATTCAAGAGATTTAGGGCATTGGAATTATAGTAGCATAGCGGAAGTGTGGTCGACTCTTAAACCGCAAATTGTGGCCTTGGATTCAGAGAGCAATGAAATAGATGTTGAAAAAGCCTCTAAAGGCCAGAAAATTGAGTTTGCATTTTTCTTATATATATTTTCAATGAATGTTCAGGGAATAGTTGAATTTAATATATATGTATCAATTCCTCAATATACGTCTCAGGATCCATTTCTTGAGAATTTCTTCTTACCACGAATAATCATTGAGCAATTAGGGGAGTCTGATGCAAGACAACATCATTCTTAATTTTAATGTTTGTTTAGTTTTAAAGGATTTATGCAATGGGCTGAAGATTGGCTCAGGCCATGTATTCGCCACTGGCCCGAGGCCAGATAAGTGATGACTCATATCAAAAACCTAGAAAAAGTAAGTAAAAAAAAGGGTGGGCCCTTGGTTAGCCACTTGCTCAAGAGAGAGCTTATGTGCTAACATGAGAGTGAGGGGTGCACCACGTCTCTCTCCCCTAAAGCCCTTTCTCACTCTCTCTCTCTTCGGTCTCTTTATTCTCTCTCTTCTATTTCTTTTTCCTCTTTCTTCCTCGCTGCACATCTCTCTGTTCTCTCTCTCCCCCCTCTGCCCTTTCTTCAGTCTCTCAATTCTCTCTTCTATCTCTCCTCTCTCTCCTGCCCCTTCAGATATCTCTCTCTTCAATCTCTTTGATCTCTCTTCTCTCTCATCAATCTCTCTTCCCACCCCACAGCATATCTCTCTTTGAATTCTTTCTCTCTTCTATCTCTCTCACAGCCTTACAGCCACCTCTCTCTCTCCCCCCTCCCTCCCTCCCTCCCTCTCTCCACCCCTAATAACTCCCATCGATAGAAGAAAGCAGGAGAAAGTAAAGTTGCAACCATATCTCTATTTATGTCCTGTATAAGCAGAGAGGGAAACTAAGGTTTTGTGAAGTTGCCGAGGTAAATATAGAAAGATGGTGCACAGAGTTTTCTTGCTTCGTAAGATAGAGGGTACACTTCCCTTTTTATAGGGAGGTGTACATTGTAGTCGGGACAACCTCTCTTTGGCCAAGGGTTGAGGCCAAGTTTGAGGGATTCGGGCAAGGCCTAGCACACCAGATGTGTGGGATACATTGCAAAGCCATTGAAACCTGGCTTGTAGGCTTCCTGTTAAATTTTCTAATCAAAATATTATTGAACTTTTCTTCCTTGTGAAATTCTTTCTATATCACATCTTTTATGTATCAATGGAGAATTGTTTTTATTACTTCGATCAAAAGAAACTTCTATGCCATCTTTTAGTTAGACAAATTTGGAAATGAGAATTTTAGCAAGAAACTTCCATGGCAGCTCTGTGTATGGAACAAACAAGTTTGATAGGTATATTTCCAGTTATGTTTTATTTATTTATTTTTGATAAATATGTTCTTTTACATTGCTATTTCTCAATAATTCTCAAAGAAACTTCCATGGCAGCTCTGTATATGGAACAAACAAGTTTGATAGGTATATTTCCAGTTATGTTTTATTTATTTTGTTTTGATAAATATGTTCTTTTACATTGCTATTTCTCAAAAAAAAATGCCCTTTTACATTGTTGTGAAACTACCTACAGGCTTTAGAGTTCTGAAACCTGATGGATGGCTTGTTGGGTTTTAAAGAGCTCTACTAGAGTTTTCTTGGTTTTTTAGTGATTCTTGGAGAGCTGTTCTAGAGTTGGATGGTTTTCACTTTATCCTTATAGTATGAATTAATATTGTGAAGATATCATGATGTCTGGAGGTTTTTGAGGAGCTCCATACTTGCTCTAGAATCAATAGGGGATGAATGCTATCATAATTAATTATCTTAACCAGAACGTATTTTGCCAAGAATATTTGCCAGCATGCTGGCTATGAGATAATTAATGATGACAGTATTCATCCCCTATTGATTCCAGAGCGTTGATTGCTCATATGACTGTTTGGCCTTGAGGCATGGACACTAAGCTTGGTATCATATTTAGGCTTAGATGTGGAGAAGGAACCTTATCATGTAGATTGGGCATTGCTGAACTTCATGTTGTAAAGGATATGATTGGCTGTGATTTGGTTGTTGGTGGAGACGATGGATATTTGCTTGCATTTCAATGGGCAGTTTCTCTATCTCGATGAACAAGAGGGTTATTTTGTAGCTTGAGAGGCCTAAAGCATGGGAAATTCATCCTTTTCTATTTATGATTATGTGCCAGGAACTTGTTAGGGTTGATGGAATGGTAGGTAAGTAGTGGAATGACTGAGAGTTGCACATTGTTATATGCTTATAGTTTATGAAAAATAAGGTACTTTATATTATCGATGAAGGGAATCCTAGTTTTTGAGATTCTCTGATTCTTGTGTAGATGCTTTGATCCTGCAGGGTTAATGATGACAAACACAATCATAACTTGATGGGAACCCTGTTTCCACTGTATGCAGCCTCACGAGGTTGACAGAGATACTTATTTGCCTTAGTTTGGTCAATAGCCTATAAACTTAAGATTTTCTGGTAAAGGTTATGAATACTTAAATATTTGTGGTAGAGTTCTAAATTAATTTTGTACAATTTCCATAATTTGCATACATGAATAATATTGTGTCCAAATCTTTCTAGTGTTGGATTGGTTGATTAACAGTTGACTAGAAATCTCATGTGCATTTCATTACTTTCCAATTTGACTGAAATTATTGGAAATTCCTTTGAGTTTGGAAATCCAAGGATTTTTCCAGTTTAATACTAAGAAGGTTGCATGAAAGATGTGAAATTGTTTCTGCAGGCATGTTGCATGCACACATGTGTGAGTGAGAAAAGTCATGATTTTCATTATGGGTATATTTTTTCGTTCTGTCTTCGTTGAAGTTTAGGGGGTAAAGAAATGCGTCAAAGACGTTGGCATTGGTTTCATGATGGCTCCCAAGTTTCATCCAGCAATGAAAGTTGTTGGCCCTGTAAGGAAAAATCTTAAAGTGAAAACAGTTTTCAATATTTTGGGCCCAATGTTAAATCCAGCTCGAGTTCCTTTTGCTGTTGTCGGTGTCTACGATGTGGATATAGTAAGTTTCTTCATCATGGATTTATAAAGTGTGATGCTATTCAATACCCTTCTTCATTATCTTATCTGTGAAGTTCAATGAATTTGATGCAATACCTGTAATATTATGCCTTCGAATCAAGATTGTAAGTTCATTTCTTTATAATTGATATTATGATCTTGTTACAATTATTGATTGGGTGCTACTTTAGTTTACTGTCATATCTTTTTTAGAAACCATATTTAAGATCAGCAGTTATCATGTGACTTGTAGATGAGCATGTGACCAGATGGTGTGCTCATGATCTGTGATGAACCTATTTGTCACCTCTTTCTGAAAGGAGTGACCTACTGAGCTTACAATTAATGAAATTGAGAATAGAAGTGTAGTATCGAATAGTTAGTCTTCTTGAGACATTGTTCTCTATTCATGCTTAAGCTGATAAGAATGAATATTGTTAACTTCATGCCCTTTATTTAAGTGGCCCCTTTCATCCTTTGCAGTGCTGTAAGGAGTCAAATTGTTCTGATAAATGATGCCATGATCTACTGGTCATTCATGAACCAATCATCGTACCTCTTTTTGTATTCTTTGTCTGTGGGAGTTGAATCTTTATTAGTATCATTTTCATACTGGCATTGATCTCTGCCAATGAATTTCACTCTTTACATTAAATAAGAAAAGATTATAGCTTCTAGTTCTCTTTGTTTTAAGGCTGGTTAGGGAGCGACCAGGTAATATTGTAGTTTATTCCATCAAGAATCATGGATAATTTGATATAAGTTGAACCCAGAGATGCCCTTAGGCTTTCGCTTAGTTGTAGACATATCAGTACAGGTGTGGTAGATCAAGGTTTCGAACTGTTTTAAGTTTGTCCCAAAAAACCAAACAAGCTGACCTACCCTTATTCACACACAAAGAAGTCACCTGTTGTGATTTTGACTAAGAGAACTTTGGGAGCACACGCAAAAAGCTAGATGAATCATAGAAACAAAGTTTTCAGGGACTACTCTAAAATTTTTCAAAACACGAAATTCAAGAAGAAAATAGGAACAAGTGTAAAACTTTATCAGAAGAGAAGAGAAAAAAGAGGAGGAAGAGTGGCATGGATAAGGAGGCAGGGTCATTCCACTGCTCCAGTCAATGTGGACACTTATGTACGTTATGTATACCTTTGAGGGTTAAAGAGAATTTTACTCTTATACCCTTATGTACATGAGAAATTTCTATGATGAACATTACATAAATAGAAGACATAAGGATAGTGAATATTATAATACAAGGACGAAAAATCTCATGGTGCTAATGGTCCCCCGCAAGCTGTGCCTCAGTTTGAGCCGTGGACAGCTTGGCTCTAAGAAACCATTGTCCATGAAGCTAGCTTTGAAGCATTCAATGCTTACCATCCAGCCTTGTTCTTAATTTTATAAACCCGTTTACAGCTTACTACATCCTTATCCAATGGTCTCTCTACAGTCTCCCAGGTGTGACATTCGTGCAGCGCTTTTATCTCGTCATTTACTGCTTCAACCCAATGATAACTCATTCTTGCAGTTTGAAATAAGAAGGTTCCAGTTATTTCTGAATCTCTAAGTTCTGTGCTGAACTGAAAAACCATCATAGTTGACCTATTATTTACCTGATGTCGCACACACTGAAGTAGAAGGCTGAGAAGGGTTGAATTGGTAGTCAGCAGTGGGGATTTGCACTGCTTGTGATTGAGGTTCCACAATGAGATCTTCGCTGATATGTGATGATAGGATCAATCCAACGATTGCGTGCAATGCTATTGTTGTTTGGTGCCCATGTTATGAAAGGATTGAGGAGTAGACTGATTGTCACCAGCATTGCTTATAAGTTCATGATTCCAGCGTTATCAGTCATGCTATCATGCCAGACTCCAGGCAAATACTAGAGGATATCCACTAGATGAGGAGTTGCTGCTTGATGACTGCCCTCCATCAGGAGGAGTTAACCAAGGCTGCATGATAATGATTATGGACTGCTGGAAAGAAGAATTAGCTTGCCTGACTGGAAATTTCAGCAAATTGAATACCAAGATTAGATAGTTCTATGGGAATAACAAAATGTTTCTCATATAAAACAAGATGTCCAGAGATGTAGATATGCAGATTTTGATATTCTTTATAATCGTCGGCATAGCTTGCAGATCAACATGCTTTTGCCGTTGGTGAAAATTTATTTGAGAAGATGCTATCAACTTAAACATAGTGAATGCAACGAAAGGCTTTGCCCATAATTTCTCGTCATCCCCACTGAATTACCCAAAAAGAAAAATTCAATAAATTGGGCTGCAGCCTTATAGAAACTTATCCCAAACTTTATTGTTAAAAATTTCATAGTTCCTATTTTGAAGGGTTTGTAGAATTAGCATCTTCAAGGCACTATAAGAATAAAATGTGGCTCATATTGAGGGCTTTTGCCCATAATTTCTTATCCCTTTGCTCGTCATCCCCACTGAATTACCCAAAAAGAAAAATTCAATAAATAGGGCTGTAGCCTTATAGAAACTTGTCCCAAACTTTATTGGTAAAAACTTCATATTTCCTATTTTGAAGGGTTTGTAGAATTAGCATCTTCAAGGCACTATAAGAATAAAAAGTGGCTCATATTGGGGGGTTTTGCCCATAATTTCTTATCCCTGTGCGAACAAGCTGGAAATGATGTAATTCTCAGAAAAGTTGTTCTATTTTTTAGAAAGTGATTGCCACTATTTTTCCTTCTAGATACAGTGCTATTGAAAATTTAAAGGATTAAGTTGCCTTCCCTGGTGTCATCAACCTATAGCACCATATGCTAATTGAATGGCTGTCGATTGGATAGTTCGATAGATAATGCTTTGAAATGGCAAAGCATGGCATTATAATGGAAGCTCTTTAGGGAGCTCATACCTCATTATTTGTCGCTAGGGTTTTATGGAACTATTCTTAGTTTGATTTATTGAATATCTTGGTATATGTTTATGATTACAAATATGAATATTTTTCACTTAGGTCGGTAAGATGGCAAAAGCACTTCAAAGTTTTGGAATGCAAAGAGCATTGGTGGTCCATTCAGAGGGCTTAGATGAGATGAGTCCACTTGGTAAGTTTGTGATTTTATTAATCACCCTTTACCTAGCATTCACGACTGAACAACAATGTATGTATTATTTTAACCATAGTTCTTAATTTCTCTGGCCAGCATGCTAATGATTTGAGCTTAATCTGCCCCCTCCAAAATTAGGGTTAAGCTTTTATTGGGCATCATGTTACTGATTTGATGTCTCATGCTGGTTTTGACAGGTCCTGGAATGATTCTTGATGTCACTCCTGGAAAAATAGAGAAGTTCTCCTTTGATCCTTGTAATTATGTTACTTTCATTATCACCCTCTATGAAGATTTATGCAATCTTTTTCTTTTTGAAATGCAGTTCAGAAAAAAAATAATAATAATAATTTGGGAAGATATAGTCCAGCTGGCCTCTAATGAAGCTTCTTCAAAAGTTATGATACCTTTAGAAGAAATATTAGGGAGTTAATGATCATTAGAACTAAGTATGTAAGTTACTCTATTATGGATCATTACCAGAGCCATTTTGAATGTGCTTTTTTGGTGTATAGTGGATTTTGGTATCCAACGCTGCACTTTAGAAAGTCTGAAAGGTGGGGGACCTGAATTCAATTCCAAGGTACTAAGGGACGTGTTATCGGGTGAGAGAGGGGCTATTGCAGACGCTTTTGTAAGTTCCTCTCTGCTTTTTATTGCTTAAAGGTTGTTCAGTTTCTCTTGAATTATGTCCATCCTCAGATTTGCATGTCATATGGTTGTTTATGGTGCTTTAGTGATGGTCTAATTCTTTTCTTCATCCTAGAGGGTATGAATCAGATTTATTTGGGTTCATAGTTCTGATCAATCAAATAGCAAATATATACTTTGATCATGGAGCATGCATTCCAGCATCTTTGATGGAGATAAAAATGTTTGGAAAGGTCAAATTGTTTATCCAAACAAATTACATATCCTGCATCTTTCCAATATAGAGAATATCATTGACAGTATACCTTCTTAGACAAATTTCATTAAATGCATGTGCATGGTGTTCTCTCCTTTCAAATATTGAGGATGTTTATGATAACATCTCTCTTGTCCTAAAAAAAAATTTCTGTAGAACAGTTCTGGTAGCATGTTTCTCTCTTGGTTATTCCAACAGTTGCTAGACACACATGCCTATTATGAAGAATGAAATGCTTACTGGTAGAATATGAAGGATGCTGCACTTCATTGATATGCTGTGTGCGTGTGTCAGTAAGGTTTGAACCTGGGATGTATGGTTGTAACTATCAACACCTATGGTCAATCAAGCCAGTATCCTCAGAGAAACATTTTTGTAGTAAACTTTCCTACTACTGTTAGTATTGTAAGAACCACTAGCTTTGATGTTTTCACACACACGTACATCCACCACCCCAAAAAAACCAAAAGAGCCATTTAACTGGCAGATCTAACCAGTAAGCCAAAAATTGCCAATCCTACTAGGAATCGACCTGGTTGGATCAGATCCAAGGGGTCTCCAATTTGGAGGTCAACGACTTGGCGACGTGCCCCTGTTTAATTAAAATTGCCTTCTTCATTGTAGTAAGCTGGGCAATTTTTAGGCCCAACTTGGGTGATTCCCTAGTCAGTCATAATTTCTCATCAATCGCGTGAGCTCAACAGTGCCTTTTTGGGTTTTTATTTATTTAGTTTGAAAGGAGAGGAGGAAAGAGACGGAGGGAAAAATAGAAAAGAGGCCCGGGGTGGGGGGTCCATTGAAAAACTGATTTAAGTGATTTTGAATCATTTTTTGCCTTGATGTTATTGAATTCAATGCTTTGGAATCATTTTCTTCCTAAATAACACTGATTCAGACAAATTTGACTTTTATTCAAACACTTCATTCAATTTTGAACTGTAAAGAATTCAAGATTGTATTTTGAATCCAGTGATTTTGAATTATTCAAAATCGTGATCTTATAGCTTACAAAAATTTATCTTGATTCAAAGTTTGAATCAAGATTTTTTATTCAGAATCCTTGATTTCTTGCCTAAATGGGCGAACCATTTACCTCTGATTCCAGCAAAAATTTCTGCAAAAATAACTTTCTGAATTCATTGAATGATTGAACTAAATTTTAGAATCACCCAATTTTCAGTAAAAATCATTCTCCATTCCTCACTATCTTATCTCTCTCCCCCTTTTTCCATTTCTCATTTCTCAGTATAGAACAAGTTGGGTCCTCCATTTACCAATTTTTTTAGAGAGAAACCCATTTCCCAATTTCAGGCCTCCGCTCTAACCTACATTCCCCCTTCATTTCTTAATTCCTTCTTCTGGATTTTTTCACAACCTCATTGTATAAAATCCCTCTCTTACAATTGTCTTATGATTTTTCCTGACCATTTGAGCTGGCTTGTGCAATCGGTGAAGCTGACTTAGCAATCCACAAGGCAAATACGATCCCAGGAGATAAGTCGGCTACAGAACCTGGTCTCTAATCGAACAATAGAGGACCATTCAAGCACTCTGGACTGTAGACTAATTTTGGTAATTCTGGTTCAACAGTTTTACTCGGCCTGAATGTCAGTAACCTTGCATAAATATCAGAACTTTCATCTCCTATCATTCATTCGCATAAACATAATCTTCTTTTCTTTTTCGGCTAGTGCATTTACATGATATTGAAAATATCACTTTTCCTTTTTTATTATTTCTCCTATAAACCCACTATAACACTTTGAATAACGACTCTTTCAGGTTCTAAATGCTGCAGCAGCACTCCTGGTAAGTGGACATGTCCAAACCCTGTCTGAAGGAGTTTCCATGGCTCGTGAAACTCAGGAGTCAGGAAAGGCCATCAAGACACTCGACTCGTGGGTTTCTCTGTCTAAGGTTAGTTATCAAAGTTTGAGCATGAAATGCTTACTCATCAGTAACTTGACCTTGTTACTTTCCTTTTAGGTTAAACTTTGTTCTATCTTTGAGATTCACACAAAACTTGATTGTTTGAAATGTTTCAGAGATTGAAAGAAGCAGCAGTCATAGTGGCTTAAACTGAGCAATTATGCCTGTTGGCTGCACTTGCAGAGAAGTGTATCATGCAGCAGCCGTCATACAAAATTTCAGTTGCAGCTGCCTGAGATTGGAAGGAGAAACCCATTTGTTACTTAGCTTTATCTCATAGATGTATATCAATCTTCATTGTTCTTTCAAAGAACTTGAACACACATAAATAATCATTTCTTAAGTTTTGACGAAATGATAATTGAACATGGAATTTAACATGTTTATAGAGTAAAGTTTGAAGATATGGTCTCCGCAAACTGGTAGGTTGTTTAAGCTTGCAATTAGAGATGAATAACGAACTCAAATGACCAACTTGTGGGCTATTGTAAAATGCAGTTACATATGAATATTAAACTGTCGTTATCTCTCTCTCATGTGGAATGTATTATGAATGCATATTATTCATAATACATATCTTTCGGTTGTCCGGTCTTGGGATAGTTCAGCCATAATCTAACATCTAACTGTTTGATCTAGATCTGATATCTTAGAGAAAATTATTTTTATTTTTTATTTACAATTCGTATGAACATAAAATTTGGTGCTTGTTATCATCTCAATGGGGGCACTTAAAAATATATTCTAGATCGAACTAACTGAGAAATGTTTTTGGTAATTTGATCAATTTATTTAGAAATATTTATTTTTTTAAAAGTTTTTTTGTAGTTGTAACTTATGAGTGGAAGGGACACTCCAAATTTGATTGTAGAAAATAAAAAATAAAATAGTATTTAAGCGTGACAATGTGATTAAGTCTATTTCAACTATTCATTCTGATCGGACGGCTAAGAGGCATATAT